GAGTTATGGAGATCAACAGTTCTGTTGAAATGCTGTGGAGGCAGGTTGCAAACGTTTAGTTTACAGAGAGTTAGAAATCTAAATTTTCTAATTCTTTCACTCTCCCATCTCACCTCCTCATGTATTTTCTTCTTTCCTTCTTTTACTTTTTTCATGTTTAAAGGAGAAACTAATTTTATAACTATTGTATTCCGTGTAGTTGATCTCCAGAGAATTTCTTTCTCTTTAAACTATTAACAAAATTGTGTAGCATAAGAAAATCTTCAATCACATTCATCACATGAATGAATTTCTTGTCAGCAGGGGTTCTGAGATTTTCCATGCCATTTATCTTCAAGAGAAGTTTACTGGTTGCCGTATTGAAAATGACAGGCAACTGCAAGTAATCAAAAACACTAAGTCTTATTTTAGGAATGTTGCTGGCTTTTCCATAAGAAATACAGGAAAGCAGGACTCTAGCTTCTAAGGGTGTTTGAGGCTGATTGGAAAAACAGTTCATTAAGCACTTAAACTTTACAGTAGTCAGTATTTTTTATTCCATATGGCTTGCAATTCTGTGGTGAAATACTGTACATTTTAAGGTTAACTGCTTGACATTAGACCATGACTAGTGACATTACCTTGACTCGCAGTATTTATAATTAATAGGTGCTAAACGTTTTGTCCCTACATTTTAGAAAATTACTGTCTTTAATGTAGAAATACAGCCTGACCCGTAAATGGAAGTGGTTAGTCACCTTTAATTGGATGACATGTCGAGTATTAATGATGCACATGCTGTTCTTAGGAGACGACAGAAAACCTTAGCTGACGGCGACTGCCGAAGCAAATGGTGATATTTCCTAACGTTTGTCAGGGACCAGAAAGGCACGGCACTTTAAAATACTTTTTTCCTCAATCACTTATCAGGTTGTAATGCACCACGCAGTCACTCTAAGAGGGATGCAAAAGCCTTCTAAAAGCCATAATGATGTGATGGCTTAGGTTTCAGCAGAGATACTAAGATATGTATAAGCTGGATTGCTCCATTTCATTTCTTATGACCTGCCCTGAAGGATGTTAGTATCCACTCATTCATTATCCCCAGCCTCTGTATCCGAGCTGAAATTGTGTGAGCACTTATAAATGTTGTACTCACAGTTCCACGAGATGTACTTTTACTGTTGTGAATGAGCGATTATTGTTTGCCAAGATCTATCATCAGAAAATTAATAAAATTCATTAAATAAAATCTTCAAATATTCAACCAACAGAAATATTGCTCTGTTTTCATATTTTGGACCATGGGAAAAAGATTAATTAAAACAATTTTATTTTTTTTTGTGTGGGTGAAATAAATAAGAAAAGCCAGTCATATTTCTTCAAGCTTTTTCTCTCTTAATGCTACTTCCAGTTCTGCAGTAGAACAGGTGTTTTTACTCGTTTGAAGAAACTATTTAAAAGTTCTTCATCAAATGGACATTTACAGACTGTTTTAATAATAGTTTAAAAAATTCTGAGGCAATTACAGCTATAGAATCTTATGAAGGGTGATTAAGGTCTCCACTAAATGGCTCACGAAGGATTAATGGCAAGAGCAACTCTTTCTCTAGCCACGTAGCATGCTAGCAACAGGTGACCAAAGGCTGTTTTTCCCACAAACCGTGCTGTTTCTCAGACAAGCTTGAAGCTTGTAGAAATGGTGTGGCAAGACATAGTCAATGAGTAGAACCCATAAAGTGTCAAGGCTTAAGGACCGGATAGCTGGTGTCCTCAGTGTGTGAGGTATCTGTGTTAGCCCATGCAGTGGAGGAGAAGGAGCTGGTTCCTCCAGGAGCTGTAGTGGGCCTGGGATGCTCACTGCACTGCAGAGTCATTCACTAAAACTCGAGGCAGCTGGGCTTGCATAACTCAGCCGACAGAGTGAGGGATGTTCTTCTGTTCACATCAGCTGGTAGTCTGCCCTCCAGCTTGGACTTCATTGTCCTAGAAAAAAAATATGATTAGGAAAGAATTTATGTAAAAAAGTGACTCAGAAAAAAGGCTTCCAGAAGGTATGCCCTGACTTGTAGTTTTTACTCTAACAAAGGCAGAAATGCAAATATAAATTAAAGGCTTCATTAACTGCAAAATTCTATCACCAGGCAGTAGCCTGTTTAAGCTCCCTCACCCGTTTGGGCACTGTGATAATAACTAGTGACTTTAGCAGCATTGTCCCTTTTTCCAGAATGGACTCCCTGACTTTGCCCATGATGGGCATGGACAACTAACGAATGAACTGCTAAGTCTCCCACAGGCAGCTTGGAGCATTAATTAATTTGTTTCTGCTGAAATAAAGAGTGAAGATAGAGTTTGTTTCCCTTGGAGCATCTGCAAAGTGTAGGTTGGAGAAAGACTCATTTTCCCTGTTGCTATTTTAGATGTAAATGACACCATTGAAATGTCGGAAGAGATTTCCTAAAATTGTCAGATATATTCTGAAATTCAGTATCTTCTAATGCTAAGCAGAAACCTGTAGTTCTTTGGTTGCTCTGCCCAGAGGTAAGAAAACGAGCAAGGCTGGGGGCTGGCAGAGAACAGTTCCCATGCATGTGGACTGCTCAGCCTTGTTCTCTGCAGCCAGAAGATTGGTAGGAGGTGGATCTCTGTCCCTCAGAGAAAGGAGTGAGAAAATGCCTAGAGGAATTAAAATATGAACACAAAGTTAGGTTTTGAAGCAAGACTGTTACTCAGCTCTCTGCATCTTCCCCTTTCAGTTCTTTTGCATTCACTTTTAGATCAGCTTTTTAACTCTTGGTTTGCCAGCAAAACTTGGGAGTTCTGTGGACACCTTGCTGCAACAGGGTTATTTCAATACTTTCTTTTCCTTTTCCTGAACTCCTTTTAGCCTTCAATGCTTATTTGGGATGGGTCATTCCCACTGAAGATATGCTGTAGATGTGGCTCTACTCTCGGTTCGTTGTAGACCCTGTGACTGTTTTCTAAATGCTGTTAACAGTTCTCTGGGGAGGGGACCAAGCTCTACCCTATGGGAAACATATGTTTCTATTCCTTCATTTGAACCAGGCCTTTAAAATTCAAGTGGGAGAAAAAGGTAGGTGATTAATGCACAGGGCTGGGAAGCAAGAGAAATTCTTTCTCCTTCAGGCTTCCTTAGTGATGTCCTAGGGAAAACCACAAATGCAGACTACAACTGTGTTCATATTTACTGCAGTAACAAATTTAACTGTTAGCTTGTGAAGCACTTTTTCCATAAGTAACATGCCAATGTACATATGCATGAGTATTCTGAGTATATGTGATGTGCAGTACTGCTTATTTTATTAAATAGTATCCATCTGTTTCAATGGGATTGGCTTGATTGCATGGTCTGATTACTCTTGATGATTAGACTTCTTGTATTCCATAATATTAACAGATAATAAGAAAAAACAAATAAGAGCTCAATGCTAAAAGAGGAAATGGAGGTTTTTAGTCATAGTAATGGCATTGTGTCTATCAGATGAAATGAAGCTATTTCACTGAAACTAAAATGTTGTTTAGCCTACCTGACAAAAAATTTGAGGGATGAATCTGTGTGTACAAAAATATCTTAGCTGGAAGAAAATAAGTCATGGTATTAATAGCACTGTGTCTGCTAGCATCAGTGGATTAAGGTTAACAAGCACAGACTGAAGAATCGTAAGTGGATAATGGCTGTGTGCTCAATTAGCAATTATTTAGGTGTCGTTTGTGTTACACCCTTCCTGGCTTGAATTTGCCCCTGTGATAGTGCTAAAGGCTGTCACAAAGTGTGTCCCAAGATTATTCAGAGCATATAATCAGCAGAATGTTTAAGTAAAGCGGTTACAACAGAAGAACTGCATTTAAAAAGGAAAAGAATAAGGGAAAGGGGCTTCAACAGGCTATCCAGGGAAGGGGTGGAGTCACTGTCCCTGGAGGTATTTAAAAGACATGTAGACGTAGTGATTAAGGATATGATTTAGTGGTGGACTTGGCAGTACTGGGTTAACGGTTGGACTCAATCTTAAAGGTCTTTTCCAACCTAAACAATTCTATGACTGGACCCAGAAACCAGCATATTGTCTTAGTTCCAGGATAATCCTTTTAATCTCATTTGGATATTTACATGTATACTAGAACCTCTCTGGAATTAGGGCTCAAAATATAGTCTTTTAAAAGGTAAATCCTTCACAGGTCTATAAGACATATCTTGTGGGGATTTTATGTCCGTGGTCATGAGAGTGAGACTAATGAGCAATTGGGAATAGTGGATGGCTTATTTATATATATTCTCTATATATAGAATATATATTGAATTCATATTATACATTTGATATTATGTATGACTATATAATATAGATAAAATCAACATTAAATATATGCATAAACATTCCATATACAAGTGAAAATCTATATATGTAATGTTTTAAACGTATAATCAATACTGGAATGCTTATTGGAATGTTGAATCTTGCCCTTGCTTCATAAAGTCTGAGCTGAATATCCACAGTATCTGCTCAATAAGATTTTTCTGATCACTGGGATCAACAGCTGTTCACTGGCAATGCTTTGGTAACATCACTGCAGTTTAATACACGTGTGGTGCGATAAGCTTAACCTAATCTTGGAGAGAACATTAAAGATATGAAGCTATGTCAGTAGCAGTTTATGTATTTAGAAACTACCTAATCAAGACACTCTTTTGCAGCATTGAGGCATTAGTTCTCAACAATAGTAATGTTAATGGCAGTGCTTAGCATTTATTTTTGTGTGTTTTGTTGTCCTTGATTATTCTTTCTCTGCCTTTGGCAAACAGGTGAACATAAATTTTTAATTATTTAGCCTGAGTTTAGATAAAAGCCTAAATTCATTTTTTCTGAAGGAGACTTGTAGCTTCCTGGGGATACTATGACCCAGTAATAGTAATAGTGATACTGACATCTCAGGTGTATGTGTAATCCAGTCCTTGGGTGACTTTTATAAGTTGTTCTAAGACATGTTATTCCTTTTTCTTGCAGGAGAACCAGAATTTAAGTATGTTGGGAATATGCATGGGAATGAAGCTGTTGGAAGGGAGTTGCTCATCTTCTTGGCTCAGTACTTGTGCAATGAATACCAGAAAGGAAATGAAACTATTATCAACTTGATCCATAGAACACGTATCCATATCATGCCATCTTTGAACCCAGATGGTTTTGAGAAGGCAGCATCCCAGGTTTGTAAGGCTGTGTATCTAAGAACAGTTATCAATGTCTGTATTAACCTTAGGATCATAATGACATTTGGACTAGAAGTTTTACTGATACAGAAACTCTTGGTGGAGGCTGTTGAATGAAACAACAGAACTGAAATATTTCCTAATAATACAGTAGGCTTGTTCTGGTTAACAATGAAGATTTTATGCTTGAGTTTTCAACAAATACCCATCTCTCGTGTGAGTTTACTGTATTTTAAAATATACCGTTTCATGCAGATTCTTTCATGCAAATTCACAGACCAAACTGCTTCCTAAACAAGTAACTTCTAGTTATACATGCTGTTTCAAAAGTCATAGAAAAGGGGAAGTTTATGTCTCCGTTAAGAATATTCTCATGTAAATGCACTTACATGAGTTGTTCACATTCATCAGAGCTTTATCCCAAAACAAGCAAACTTTGTGAGCCATCTTTTTAATGTGAATAAATTCAATCCTAAATTTTGGGAATGAGGTATCTTAATTAAGGTATTAGTCAAGAAAATTTAGCATATCTTTTAGGATGACAAGAAATTAAAATGTTACTGCATGAATATCAAATAGAGGTCAAACAGGACCCTGTTATATATACTTCTGGCGTGTATTATGTTCTAAACAGAAATAAGATTTTTTTTCTTTTACAAGTTGCATTTATTTTTCAATTAATATTGAAATATTGAGTCTTTTTATGTAACTATTTATTTATGATTAAATAAGTCAAACCGTATTAAGATCTTTATTAAACTGTTTCTCACAAAGTCTTTAGAAAAAAAACCAAAATCACAGACCTCTTTTAAACTATACTCAGTTGTATGTCTCCCTCTCGTGGCAATGATGCAGAAGCTGTCTTCAAATTGGTGCTGTATTTTACGACTGAAGTCTCTCTCTTTAGAGTTTCTGAAATAATATTATTTAAAACTTTTGCTTATTAGTCAAAGTACACTTGCTTTGACATGGTTGCCTTACAAGTTATATATGATTTACAATACAATTTGCATTAGTGCTACTGTTACTCTAATTTAAAAGCATATTGTTCCTGTTCACAGTAGGTTCAGTATTCCTGCAGTTTGGGGTCAGGGCAGCCCCCAGAACTGTAACAGATGCTCTCTGTTAACACCCCCACCCCCCTCGAAGGGAGTAAGGGAGAAAGACTTATTGATTAGAAAAGAAAATAAAACAGCCTTAATACTACCACTAATAAAAATAGTAATAATGATAATAAAATAGACTATGTACAAATATATACAAAGTTAGTACCAAACCCAGTTCCACCCTTATGGCAACATGTCACTGTCACCCCCGGATGGGGAGCAGCCCCCGGGGAAGGGGGTCCCAGGCTGGACTCAGCCACAGGCTGCGACTGGGTACAGGAGCTGGATTCTGGAACTCAGTTCAGGAACACAGGGCTCGGGATCAGAGGCAGGATGGATGGAGTTCTCCTCGGATGCGGCCACCGCAGAGGCAGCAAAAGTGAGGAGGGAGGCCAAAGGGAGATGGAAGGGGTTGCCCCTCCTGATCAGAAGCAGCCAGCAGCCCAGCAGCAGATGGAAGAAAGAAGAACAGAAGGGGCAACAGCAGGGCTTGTCCCTCCTGACCCTTCAGCTTTACTGGGTATGCTGGCTGTGGGATGGAACACCCCACTGGGGAATCTTGGGGTCAGTTATCCTGCCCGCTCCTCCCCGCAGGTGTGGGGTGCTCTCTGTCCCCCTCCATGTGGGACACAAGCTCAGCAGTGGCCTTGGTCTGCATCCCAGTCCCTGGCAGTAACTCTAAACATGAAGTCTGAACACTGCTACAGCCAGATAGTTTATGAAAACACCGCTAACTTCAGACAGAGCAGTTAATTAGAAGAACTTTAGCTGAAAAGTAAAATCATTAAGCAGAACCAGCTCTATTTACCCCAAACCAGGACAAGTATGATGCAAGATCAAAACCAGAACCAAGATCAAACCAATCCTACTTTAAAGAGTACTGACAGCTTACAGATATAAGCTAGTGGAAGCTATGCACTCTGAAGGCATTTCCTTAATGCAACTCAAACCCTGTTTCAGAGAATCACCTTAAAAAAAAGATTTTGCAAAAATTCTCTTTGCATCTTTATTCAGTGCTCCCACTTCAGTGAATGAAGCTGACAAAACAAAAATCTCAGATAAATAAAAATTAAGGTCCTTCTTTACCCTGAAGCTATTTAGAGGAACTTTGAAATGAGTGCAAACATGCCTTGTGGCTGGCTGATAAATCTAGAGATGCTCCAAGACTCACTAAAATGAGGTCTGTAATTCACAACCATGGGCATGATGCAACTGGGAAAAGGAGGTCTCAGGTGAAGACTCAGGAAGCACTGAAAACTCTGATGCTGCTGGTAATTTTGCCCAACCTTAGTACAGATATGCCACCATGAAAATGATCTTCTCCGAGATGTTGAGTGAGAAGTTGGTTTTGTTCCCCCTGAGCTCTAGAAAGAAATTGGAGTAACTCAGCTTTTGGTCCTTCAGACTTCTTATTCCTGAGAACATGAGAAGTAAACCCATGATTTGAATTTACATTGCTAAATATACCCATATAAAGCTCCTGAATGTGCTCATCTCCCTTCTCTTTCTGTTCCCTTTCCTCATTCAGCCCGGTGAACTTAAAGACTGGTTTGTTGGTCGAAGTAATGCCCAAGGGATAGATCTAAACCGAAATTTCCCTGATCTTGATAGAATAGTCTATGTTAATGAGAAAGAAGGTGGCCCGAACAACCATCTGTTGAAAAACATGAAAAAAGCTGTGGACCAGAATCCTAAGGTAAGGACTGAATATCAGGTCACATATATGCCCATCTCTTCCCTTTAACACGAGCAGAGATGCAGCAGCTTCTAAGAGCTGTGTGTTTGCTCTTTATGAGTCACATTCTTCTACATATTCTGTTCATTTTGTTAAATTTATCCGTGTGATGCTTCCTGAATTTCTTCTCAAAATGGCTTGCTGTAGTAAACCCTTTTGATCCGTATTGCTTAATCCTTAGACAATTCGTCATTTGAAGCATGTTTTATTATTAAGGCCAGAAATTGCATAGCCTTCTCCCTCGGTTTGAAGCTGTTCTTGCAGATATTCTGCATTTTTACTGTTGCCCAAAATTCGCTTGTGTATTGTACTAATTTACATTGCTGGCTAGAAAGCTATTCTTACATATAATACATGCATTTTTGTTAAGCTTAAGCCTTAAATATACAGGCGTGTATCTGGAGGGATTCTTCTTGTGTTTATCCCCACAGGAGGTTCTAGAAAATACAGTGTTGTGACTGCAATCCCATAGGGTTTTGGCCTCAACAGCTATATTCTGTCTTCAAATTCAAATTATTAAATGAAATAATTTTATTTTCTCTGTAGAGAATAGATTATATCCTCTCAAGATTTATTTTAAGTCAGTTTGTTTTTCCCATGATTTTGTATTTGGTAGGCTTTTTTTTTTTAGCTGCAATGGGAAGAAATAAAAGATTGAGAGTTCTTTTTTTGTGGTCTCATTCTGAACTGATTTACACCAGTTTTGATGTATATTAATCCACTTAATATTATTATAAATCTGATATAAGGGACTGATTCAGTTTTCTCTGAAGCCAAAATAAAATTTGTGTTCATTTAAATGTCTCACATAGTATAATAACTAAGCCCACTATATATAATTGAATACATGTCTACACTGAATTATCAATTAATAGCTGCTGGTAATGCTCTTTTATTGTAGCTTGCTCCTGAAACAAAAGGTGTCATTCACTGGATTATGGATATTCCCTTTGTGCTCTCTGCCAACCTTCATGGAGGAGACCTTGTTGCAAACTATCCTTACGATGAGACTCGGAGTGGTATGTAATAGAAGTTAACGTGAAGCAGTAGGAGGCAGAAATTACATTCTATACTTGAATTCTACCTAAGGTCCACTTTGTAAACATTATGTTATTACATTGTAATGACTTATTTTAGCATATTAATCACATGTTTAAAGCTAGTCTCTGTATGACTGTGTTTTCTAGTTTTGAAGATGATAGTTTGTTTGTAGTTACATCACAAAAATGATGTAATACCCAAGGGAATCGTAGTCTCTCAGCTATTTTAATCAAGGCAACTTAGCTCTTAAATCAGCTCGGACTGTTTGCATCCTGTTAACTGAAGCAAGAGAGATGTGTCTAGGCTGTCTGCATGATCTAGTATTTCTTTACTTGCACCTTTAAAAAATTAATTTCTGAAAGTGATAGTGTACTAATAGAAACAACTATAACTCTTCCCACTTTTCCGGTATTAGTCCCATATAAAAAGGGCCACATTATGGCAGAGATGTTACTATTTGCACACAGCAATATAATTTTGGTTTTTTATTCCACTAGGGGATGCGCACATGACTGAAATGGTCATGAGATCATGGTAGTGTTTGTGATTGTCTTCCTTCAGTCTACTCTCTCCCAGTTTCATTGCAAATCCTTTTAATGTCAGACTGTAAAACTCTTTAGAGAGAGAATTTTTCCATGTACTGTGTGTTCTTCTCAGAAAATATCTAAAGGCTAGAATAGCTTAGATTTTGTGGTGCACTTTGAAATTAATATTTTTATAAATGTTAGGACTGATATGAATAGTCATCTTAATAATCAGGCAATGTGGTACAGGCAACCGATGAAGTATTGGGGAAATGTTAATGTTATTAAGATAATGCTGCATTAGTTTGTAGTGCTCTAGGATATTTCCTTGCGCACTGAGAATTTTCAGGCACAGTTCTGCTGTGCAGTGCTGGTAATCTAGGTTGTCAGTTCAAAGGGTATGACTGCCCTTTAAATAATCCTCGTTTCCTCATTCCTGGATGTTTTTTCCCCCCTGTAGGTAGTGCTCATGAATACAGCTCCTGCCCTGATGATGCTATTTTTCAAAGCCTGGCTCGCAGTTATTCTTCTTTAAATCCTGCTATGTCTGATCCGAACAGACCACCGTGTCGTAAAAATGATGATGACAGCAGCTTTGTGGATGGAACAACAAATGGTGGCGCTTGGTACAGTGTCCCAGGAGGTGAGCCCCACTGCATGGGTGTTCAGTGTCACTGGTTGTTTGAAGCTTGAGTTTTCACTACTTTAGTTATAGAGTGGAGTACAACTAGGCTATTCACAACTTTTGGTGTGGTTGAGGCTAAATCAGAGAAAGATCACTCACCACAGTATATCTATACAACTCCATAATGCTCATCATGATGCCTATTAAAATGTTTTCATTTTATTGCTTTCTATACAGTGTTTCTTCATTCAAGGTTTGCAAATGTACTTATTTTACAGTGGGTGAGTGATTGTTATGCTATCATGAGAGCTCAGGAGGTTTTTTTTTTTTAATAAAATAAGAAAAAAAAGAGTAAAATATCCCCTAGCAAACTCTGATGAGAGAGAGCAGGCTAGTGACTATTCATTTTAACCTCAATAATGAAAGCATCCAACCTTGAAAGAAGTGGAGAGGCCTGAGTTTTGCAGCGTTATTGACAGTGGGAGTTTGGCCTTTGATTTCCATAGGAACAAAATCCAGCCGTGAAGATACCTGAGTCTCCATACTTTGTAGCTTAATCAGTGCTTGATTCCTGCCCAGGTAATGCTCTACTTTGGTAGAGCCTTCTGTGCAAAGAGAAACAGCAGAGCTACTATGGTCATTTAAACACTAATTTTCCAGAAGTCTAGAAGACTACCCTGAAATGAGACATTTCATTCTTTCTTACTATGAATTTTAGTATGTAATTTTCTTTGGAAACTGAGGCAAAATGTTTTAGGATAGCTAAATCTTTGAGTTGTCCATGTCTCCTAAACTTGGAAAAAACCTCAGAGGGAAAAGAGATCTAGGGATTTCTGAGCTAGTGTTGCGAAAATGGGGGAATAAAATCTGGTCTTGTGAGGCCAGCACTGAATATGCGACAGACGCAAATCAGGAGACAAATAATAATTGTTTATTTACAGCAACATTTGCAGGTTCTTTTGGGTTGCTGGTGATAAAATTAAAAGCTACAGGGATAACTAAAGGTTTATTACTAATAACAACACACTATACATACGTGCACGCACACTCCCCACCCCCAATAACAACTTGCCTGCTGTAGGCCTGGGTGCTTGTCATATAGACAAGCCCATCGAACAGAAATACAGTGGAACAAGACACAGTAAAAGTCTCAACAAGAGCGAAAGATACACCCAGAGAAGCACAGAAATGCTCCTGAGGAGAAAATGTAAAATACACCTGGGAAGGAAAAGTCTCTCAGCACTGGCTGAGGTAAATACGGTTACCCACACGGCATCCCAATTAGGGAGGGTGGAGAATGAGCGAATTCATCAGTCCATCCTGTCATTGGTATGGTTCCGAGTCGATCCTGTCCCAGTTTTGGGGCTGACATTGGAGTGATATTTATACCCAAATTCGTATGTTACATCAGCAGGGTATATGTGCGGGTGGGGATGACTGCAGACAATCTTATCACTTAAGTTAATGCCGCAGAGTCCGTAGATTTACACCTGCATGGGTGGGGGTAGTGGCTCCCTTTGTTTTGGGCTAAGCCATCGGAAGACTGGGACCATGAGGCCTCCGCCCCATTTCGCACTCCTCCAGACACCCAGGTGACACCAGATATCGATGTGGGGATGGCTGCCACATTCACCCAGTGCTTGCTGCCTTGTCGTGAGTTTCGTGCTTCCAGGCATGTAGCTGCGTAGTGTATGTGACTTGGACGTTGTCATCAACTGTGTTCTCTTTACAGCTAGAAACTCAGCTTGTGTTTGGGTGACTTGCCTGTGTATTTGGTTTGTTGATTTGTACCAGATAACTTTGAACACATGTACCAATTTCACTATTCGATTTCCTCTTAATATTCAATTAGAGTGTCTGAATTAATTTTAAATGTTTACCTGGAATGAGGGGGAATTCTTTCTCACAGCATTAGGATAGCTTAGGTAGTAGCCAAACTCTGCTCCTGTTGCAGTAAAGGGCATACTTGAAGCGGAAAATAATTAAATTCATGCCAGGAAATTAGAATCAGAACAATGACCGGTAGTACTCAAACAGCCAGCAATCACCTGCTTAAACTTAGAGTTGTTATTTGCAGTCTTCACAGGAGCATCATATTCCCTCTGCTGTGGTACCAGAGGTGTAAGGTAAAATGTCAACATTTCTGAATATAACGGAAAAGCAAAAATTTTCCTTTGTGTGAAGTTTTCCACAGACTTTGAATTGCAACCCTGAAGACACCTTTGACAAAACATATTTTGCATAATTTGAAAAAAATGAATATAAGCAAAATATTGAGGGGTTTAATAGGTGTGGGTTTGATGGTGTTGTTTTGTTTCTTTTTTTTTTTTCCAATTCAGTTAAAAAATGATCTTTTATGAAATATTACTTATAAAAACATGGGCATATTTAACTTCAGCTTCTTTTTCCTTAGGCAAATGCTATAAAAACAGTCTTTCCATTGTCTTGATGAAATGTTTTGATTCTGACTAAACTGCACATGCTAAAGACACATTTTTTCTACTGGAAAGTTTATTTCCTCCTTTTGGATCTTGTTTTAAGTTAAACTACAAATTCCATAAGTGAGACCTTTCTTTTTCTCATGTATTTATACAGAAGTTAGTAAACAAGAATCTTAGTTCTGACTGGGATCTATGATCCTAATATGCTGCAGCTAATAAAAAATAGGCAACAGTATACTTTGGAACATTGAGCATGAATCTGTTTGGGTTCTTTTTCCAAGTTTAGAAATCAGCTGACAAGCTGTGACTTTTGAATGAAACCTCTATGGTAATGTTTCCTGCAGGCAGACTTAAAAACGTAAAAAGTCATCAAAACCAGTTTTGTTACTTCTATGTCTAGTGCTAAGGACGATAACTAAACATTACTTAGTTCAAGTGAAAATTTTCTTGGACGCTTTAGCCCAAAAAGCTGTCTGGAAACTGATAGGTGGCATGTATGTAAGTTATCCATTACATCAGCGATCTTTTTCTATACATATGAGGACACACTGAAAGATAGTAGTGATCCAAGCTACCAAAAAGTCATTTGCTTTAGGAAAAGCATTTCATTTTATATCCTTACCAGAGTTCAGAATTTATCAAGAGAAACTCTCCAAAGACCTGGAACTGTGTTTAGTGTAGAAAGGAGGACATGGCTTTAGCAGAGCAGTGGTAAAGAAAGGAAAACAGAGAGCAGAGGGCAGCTGAGCTAAGCGAGAGAGGCTGTGCTCTCCTAGATGCTGCCTTGGACAGCACGTCATCAGACCAAGAGCTCTGACATAGGAAGGGCTGATTTTTTTTTTCTCATAAATCAATAAAGCTTCTGTTGCCCTACAGAGCTTGTTGTGGTGCCCACATTGTGCTGCATCAATTTTGTTTGCCCACAGGAGCTTCTACCTTCTGTAAAAGACAGCACTGCATGGTGGGCCAGCACCCATGTTGATTGGCTCCTCAGTATGCAGGGGTAGTATATGGGTGGCTCGTTAGTGTACAGTATGGGTTGCTTTTGCATATACTTTTCTGAATACCTGGATTCTTTCAGTAGGAAGGCAGAATGTCTGGTGGCAGAAGAGTCTGGTAGCAGCCCTCATCTCAAAGTGCAAGTCAGGATGAACCCTCTATTGCATTCATGTTCTGTCCTTCCCTCTTGTCGAACCTCATCAGCCTCAGGCAAGGTGGCAACTGCATCCATGTTTTGGGGTGGAGAGAGCAGATGATGTACAGGAGTATTTGACATTTGCTTCTGTCTCTTAATACACTTTGCTGTGAGGTTTTTCTCACCATTACCTAGCTAGTAGTTACTTCTGTGGAGCAGGGGCACAGAGAATATAACTCTCTGAACAGCATCTTTGTGCTAAATCTGAGACAGTGATGCTGTTTACATTTGTTTTGTATCAGTTGTAATCTGTAATTATTTGACTCTTGTAGGTTTTTCAGAGAGCAGTAAGCAAAGACAAAGAGGTCATTCTTCTGTGTTCAGGAAAGGCCTTTTAGCCACCAGACCCTAAGCCTGTACATAAAATCCATGCTATTTTTAACACTTATCAATATGTAATTAAAGATTTCACTTATGAACAAGAAAGCCAAAGTAAACTTGCACAGACGGCTTTAATTTTGGCATTTCCTTATCTGTTAGTTGCATAACTTTTCAACATTGATAGTGTTTTTCTTTTAATATACCTTTTGTGTAGAATATTTATTTGGAAATATAAATGGGAAGAGCAGATAGCAATGAATTACTAGCTAGCCACATGCCTGTTCTGCTTGTTCTGTCATTACAGAGTCATCTGAGTCTAATCATGTCATTACAAAAATAGTGTTTCAAAGCAGCTTACATTGCTATACTATTAGGCTTTTGTTCCAGTGTCTTTATTTTCAGATACTCTCAAATCACTCTTGGCACTCAATTAATTCCTAACTTGAATTACCTTTCACATTACAAGTTTTAGAAGTGATGTTAGGTAAAATTTTTTTAGGATTTTATAGAATGTGTAGGAGGTACATGTTCTCTCTTTTACACACAAGGCTCAAGTTCATCCTGTCCTTTTAAAAGTTACTGTCCTTATATGTGTAGAAGCTGAACTAGCTTAGTGCTGTAGCTTGCAATTAAACTTGGAGTCATTCTGATTCCTGGATGCCCAGAGCACACCCTGCATTTCCCTTTCTTTATGAATGCTGGAATTCTGTTTTTAAAAAGCTGAAGAAATAAATTTTGTCTCATATTCTAGGCTTATTTATGTGACTAGTAACATAGGGACACTGTTCTTCAGGGCAGTAGAGCAGTGCAACAGAGGAGTGTTTGTGTTGTTCAGTTTCAAAGAAAAATCCTACTTGTGGTCAGCAGTGAAGGGCATAAATCTCATTTATATCTGTTGTTTGCTAAGGCTTTCTGATCTTCAGAGATTTCTTCTTGCTAAAGTATAGGAACGTTAATTTTGTGCTATGCTTTGTTAAAATGAGAAGCTTTGGGACTGTGGTGGTGTGCATATACGATGTATGCCATGTGCACAACAAAAAGGAACAGGACAGATACACGGCTTGACCTGTGACAGAAGAGTTGCCACAATGTTGAATAAATCTTTTGAAATGTATCGATATCTTGGATAATGTTCCTAATTGCCTTGTTGAACAGGCAAGTAAAGAGGGCAAATTGTATGTAGCCAGCCTGATTCTCTCCAAATTACAGGTATAGTAAACCACAGTTTAGACCTAGGCTATCTTTACCCCATTCTCCATCCCAGAGATTCAGATCATTACCAGCAGCTTGGTGATGTGAACTGAATTTTTTTCAGAACCAACATATAAACTGTGGCCCAGGTCAGGAGCTGGGAATCAAACTGGAGGATATGGACATTGTGCACAAAAATTGGAAAATATATTTCTTCTTTGTTCTGTCCTTGAGAAACTAGAGCATCCCTGAGTATCACCTTGCTTTGAGAGGTGGAGGAGAGGGAAAAACTTCCAGAGAGTTACAGCAGTAATGGTCAAGAGTTGTTTGCTCCACAGTAAAATTACATTGTGCCCTTCATCTGCCAGATCTCTTCCTGGATACTTTCTTTCATGTAGAAGAAAAGAAATTCATGTAGTAGAAAGAAAGCCAACATTATCTAGTGTCTGGAACAGATGCCTAGCAGTGAGTACTGCTGTCAGGATTTTACTCATGACTCTGCTGCTTTCTTGCTGTGTATTGCTGAATGGTCTATCCTGTATTTTACTTAGTGGGACATTGGAGTTGTCCCTCCCAGGAGCACGTTTGACTTCTGTGTCCTCATTTTTCAGACATCTAAAAAAGGCTTAGAAATAAAAATATTATTTTAGGAATCTGAAAAGTCCCTGTTCCTATCCTGTTTCCTGTTAGAAGTCTTGTCATCTGGTTGACAGAAAGTAGATTCACCCTAATGTGCTGGCAAAATCCCACCTGACTCAATCTGCTTGCTGCCCTTGGTGTTCTCTTTTGGATATGACATCAGATCTCTGGAGATTTCTGGATCAGTGCAGAGCACTGGTGCTTTGATAAAGAGACTGCATAAGGTCTCATATCTAGCCTGCATGGGGCAACATAGGGCTGAGTTAATTAGCTGTGATCAAAGCACTTTTAAATCCGTCAGTGAGCTCTATGGGGATGCTCAAAATGCTTGGTAGCCTTTCATTTCAGTCCACTGAGTGCTAGCCAGATAGACTGGGAAGGCAAGTCTGCATCAGCTTCTGCAAAGAATATGTTCATAACTCTCCTGGGGACAGGCACAGTGCCTCTCCAGATGGTTGATCCAGCTGGAAACCACGTCAGTTGTTGGAAGACCAATTGGAGAAAATAGCATTTCCATGCAGGAAGAGGAGGGACTTAGAAGTCTAAAAGAGTGCATCTTTCTCATAAAGTTTTTGTTTCTAGTGATGATGATAATTTGTATATTTTTAAACTCTTATGATGAAAGTTGCATTAGCAGTGATGTTCCCCTTAATGTTTTGATTATTGATTGTGCAGAGACATTGAGTGGCTGGGAAATACCCTTATCCATGGAAAAAATTCTGTCAAAATAAAGTTCGTAGGAAGGTGGTGGTGTTTTTTATTTAAATCATAAATATTCGGGATCTATACTGAGAAGCCTGATGAAGAATATTCATTAGGAAACAGATGCATTCTATGTATAATGTTACTAAGATGATCTGTATTTTCACACGCACTCCTTGTCCCCCCAAAATGCTTTTTATCAGTCTCCACAAACCTTTTTTTCAAAGGCACTTTGTCATGTTTAATTTGCTTTGTAATTAGTTGTCGTTATTTTTGTTTTACAAAGTGATTGCCCTTTACTTTCATCTGGAAACTTTTTACCCATAATCAGAAAGAATTTTCTGTTTCTGATGAGAAAAAAGTGTAATTTTTATGTCAGCTATCCAAAAAAATGTGTCAGGTAGGACTATACAGGCCAGATGTGAAGACTTCTCTAAAATTTCCTTGGGAAGAAAACGTTTTGGGGAATTAATTTGCTTGTTGATTTCTCTGATTTAATGCCTCTGATTTCAGAACTAATCTGATTAAATGGAACTGCACCCACAGTATTTATAGCTATTCTTTTCTTAACAGCCCTAGCATCTCACATGCCCTGCTTTGTTCTGTTTAGTTCAAAACAATGCAAATTGCATCAGTAACTCTCTTTTCTGGTATTGCAGGAATG